CAGAATAATTTTCAAAGGAGAGAAAATCATCATTCCTACCAGTCTCAGAGAAGAGATTTTGACAAAGATCCATGCTGGACACATAGGCATGGAAAAGTGCAAACAGAGAGCACGGGACATTTTGTTTTGGCCTGGAATGTGTAAACAAATAGAGGACATGGTTGGTAAATGCCCCACCTGTCTTGAACGACGCCCCTCAAACACCAAAGAGCCAATGTTACCTCACCGTATCCCAGACCGACCCTGGCAGGTCGTGGCAACCGATCTGTTCACGTGGAACAACGAGGACTACATTATAACAGTGGACTACTACAGCAGATACTTCGAACTTGACAAGTTTCACAGCACCACATCTGCAGCTGTGATACACAAGCTGAAAGCAGCCTTTGCCAGGCATGGCATTGTAGAGACTTTAATATCTGACAATGGGCCCTGTTACAAATCAAATGAGTTTGAATCCTTCACAAAAGCATGGGAGTTCACACACGTCACCACAAGCCCACATTACCCTCAAAGTAATGGCCTTGCTGAAAAATCTGTGCAGATCGCTAAATCACTCATGGACAAAGCAAAAGCAGACAAGAGAGACCCCTACCTCAGTCTCCTTGAATACCGCAACACTCCAGTTGACAACTTCAAATCACCAGCCCAGCTGTTGATGAGCCGCAGACTTCGCTCAATCCTTCCCAGCACCAACCAGCAGCTGCAACCTGAGGTCGTCAGCTACAAGGAAGTGCATGCAAAACGTGCACAGAGACAACAACTGCAAAAGCGATACTACGACAGGTCAGCCAGACCACTGCCACCACTGAACGACGGAGAGTCAGTTAGAATCCAGGAGCATGGCTACTGGAAGCCAGCAGTCGTCATCCAACCAGCTGACACTGAACGTTCATATCTCGTTCGCACCGCAGAAGGAGCGGTGTACCGCCGCAATCGTCGTCACCTACTGAACACAAAAGAACAACACACTGACGAGATGAACTGTTCCCCTGAAAGAGAACGGGTGGACTAAACACAGACACAACACAACATACACCATACTTACCTGCAACACCACAAGAACTGTTGACTGACACAGAAGCATGCTCAGCTTCATATCACACAAGGTCAGGAAGAGAGGTCAAGCCTAGAGCTGTCCTAGACCTGTGAAATGTCAAAGGGTGTAGGCGGATCGCTGCCCTAAAAGAGTTCCAGACTGTAAACGTGTTATTGAAAGTTAACTTGAAATGCTTTGGTATGGTATTTGTTGACATGTTGAGATGTCATTGCTACAGTGAAAAGCTGAGTTGCTGAGAAATATTTTTTCTAAAAGTAACAGTATGCTGAATCATTGTTTGTCTGTTATGTTGATGCAGTTGGTGCAGTTTAAATGGTTACTTACCTCGAGTTCAAACTACAGAGCATGTATTCAAAAGAAACGCTTTATTGTTCTACATATTTTTTTCTTTTTTTAAAAGAAGAGGGATGTAATATTCATATGTGTCAGCATACTGAATTGTTATTGGATGCATTATACTGTCATATCATACTGTGCTATGATTGGTTAAGACCACCCAGGTGGTGAGGTCATTCTAAAGATGATCATGGCCAGAGACACATGGACATGCAAGTTATAGCTAGTTAATAAAGAGCTACGTTTATAAATATCCTGTCGTCCTGCATTTTATTATTTTGTACAAAGCATACAAAACAAGACAAATTTATCTTAGCCTACATTTATACGCATATTATTACCTTTTCTGGACGGGTTTCTTCCTCTTCTTCGCTGCATAGATCCCCTCATTCCCCAACATAGTGACTTTGACTTTTCAAAATAAATACAAATAAATCTAGCTTAAGTTTTCCTCCACTGATTATCCGCGAACTTGAAAAAAATCCTACCCAAAACAAGCATGAAGTACAGTTCCAAATGCGAACAGAGAAGTTAGCATGCTTTCTGCTGGTCATAAGATACCCTTGCTATCTGCTCTGCTATTCTGAGGTCGATAAAATGTTGGTCGGGGCGAAAACTCCACTTGAGTCCAGTCCCAAACCACGTTTATCACTACCCTCGTCCGTCAAAATGTTATGTGAAAGTTGTCCCTCCTGTTCCTCAAAGTAAACTCGACCTGATACGTAAGAAGTGCCTTCTTTCTTGCAATAGGTTTAAACCAATCGTAATCACTGTAACAGAGCCCTCGGTGTCACACCGAATATTATTGGTGTACATTCACTAACATTGGGGGGGATTCTATTCATGCCCCGGGTGAACCGGGTTAGTGTTGATTACATCCAATGAAAAGTTTTAAAATTCGAAAATATATTTTATGGAAGAAATATGTATTTTTTTCTGAATGATGCACCATGCAGATTACCGTTCAATTTGATCAGGGCGCGCCTACCTCACCTCAAACTGCAATATCTCATCAAACAGTGAACTTTTACCTAACAGTTCTGCGTCTTGTTTATTTTATTATTTTATTTGTATACTTGTTTGACATTTCTACTGCATTGTTATGAGCTAGTAACAAGCATTTCGCTGCATCCGCTATAACACCTGCTATAACACCTGCTAAACCGTACGCGACCATAGTAAGGCCTCGATCACACCGACAGTGTCATGAAAAAACACCTCCTGCTGGAGAAGACAGACAGATTTTGGGCGCAGTTATCACTCTGGCTTTGCCTCTTATGCCTCTATCACACTGACAGAGCCATTACGTTTTGGTACACCAGAAGTACATTCATTTCCATACACTCATTTCCAATGGAACGCTGCGTTTGCCTTGCAGCATTGCAGAGGCAGAAGCAGTTGCAGTGCGTTCTGTGTGGTGCATAACAGTGGAGGCTGCTGAGGGGAGGACCGCTCATAATAATGGCTGGAACAGAGCAAATGTAAGATGTATTTGATACCATTCCACTGTTTCAGCTCCAGCCATTACCATGAGCCCGTTCTCCCCAATTAAGGTGCCACCAACCTCCTGTGGTGCATACCTTGGATTTATCGAACAAAAAACTATGTGTAAATGGCTTGACAGAAGTGGTAGCAGAAGGTGAATGTTGAACTTTGCACAATTGTGCAAAATGGTAAGCAGCATCATCTGAATGTGTGTGCAACAAAAGTTCAACATTTACCTTCTGCTACCATTTCTGTCAAGCCGTCTATGCATACAGTTTGACGCATATGTTCGATAGATAAATACAACGTATGCACCACACAGAACGCACTGCCTCTGCAACGCAATGCTGACGTAGCGTTCCATTGGAAATGAATGTTCTTCTGGTGTACCAAAATGCAATGACACTATCGGTGTGATCGAGGCATAAGCGGCGAAGCAGAGGGATAACTGTGGCCAAAATCTGTCTTCTGAAGCAGGTGGTGTTTTGTCCGTTTTTTTAATCGCTCACCAAGCAAGAAGTTTTTGTAAGGAGGTCAATGAGTGTTGAATTTGGTAAACAAAAAAAATATATAATAATATGCCATTTAGCAGACGCTTTTATCCAAAGCGACTTACAGTCATGTGTGCACACATTTTTACGTATGGGTGGTCCCAGGGATCGAACCCACTACCCTGGCGTCGCAAACGCCATGCTCTACCAACTGAGCTACACAGGGCCATTGATATATTGGGTTTATTTGATCAAATAGAAGTTTCATAATACTAAGGTTGTTACAAGTGTAGGACACGTGACATCCCAACAACTTTGAGAAAAAACACTTTATATCCGAGTTGTGCCTGTTCTTCACATACATATCTGCCATCTCATTGGCTAGAATGGTCACATCTGATCTTGCCTGCTCCCGACTCGACTGCCTTCCATTTTTTAAGACATTTATTTTCATTGTAAGAGCGGCCACTTGAGTATCTGGTCAATATAATGGAAATCTGTGACGCGACCAATAAACTTTGATTTGATACTTTTTTCTCTCCCCCCCTGATGCTGTTGCATAATCAACAGGTTACTACTTCCCACTAGCGGTAATGGTGAATATTGCGCCTTTCACTTTTCTGGAGGCCATCACAAACCGAACATATATTACACAACCAAGTGTCACACAGTGTAGCTGAAACGTCAATATATATTTTCAGTAGGATAAAAGATTAAGACAGTTGGAGAATTTGGCCCATGATTCACAGTTGACAATTACATTTTCAATTATGATTATAAAATGTTTGAGAAAGGATTGACACTTTCTGTCTGATAGTGTTATTTTTCAGTCAGATTTACAAAAATAAGCCAGGTGATAAGAGGAGAGGGTGTTTCAATCAGAACTGCAGTGTCTTGGGCTTCTCCCAGGGGAACTCGTCCCGGCCGAAGTGTCCATAGCAGGCAGTGGACTGGTAGATAGGCTGCTTCAGACCCAGCTCTCTGGAGAAGAGGGAACATGTTCACACATCAGAATGTGCCATAATTTAGCCTGCTGCATATGATTCTCCACCTCTCTTTAGCATAATCGTTGTGATTCCCAAATGCCCCAACTTGACCCAAACGAGAAGCAGCTCATCAGCAAGATCAATGTGTCAAATAGCCTAGTATCTCAATTTGATAAAAACGTGTTGGAGCCACAACACAGTATTGTTAGACCTCTAGATTACAAGACAGTGATATTGTACTTACTTGACAATGACCCCAGGCCTGAGGTCAAAGTTGTTGTTGACGATCTGCAGCAGTTCATCCTCCTCCCTGGTGGACGTTCCATAGTGGAACACAGAGATGGACAGAGGGTGAGCCACACCGATGGCATACGAAACCTGGGAGAGCAGCAACAGAAGATTCACACACCCAAAAAAGATTAACAAGGTAAAAAATATATAATTAAAAAAAAATCACACTATTTTTATTATTATTATTATTATTATTATTATTATTATACTCCCAGATAATTAATGCATAATTTTGGGTACACACTTTTAAGGCTTTTGACTGACCTGAACAAGGGCCCTCCGGCAGAGCTTGGCTTTCACCAGAGACTTGGCCACCCAGCGGGCTGCGTAGGCCCCAGAGCGGTCCACTTTAGAGTAGTCCTTTCCAGAGAAGGCCCCTCCACCATGCCCTCCCCACCCTCCATAGGTGTCCACTATGATCTTACGGCCTGTCAGTCCCGCATCACTCTGTTCAGAAGAGTACAAAAACACAAAATACACACGCATCTAATTCCCTGGGAGTTTTGATTCAGACATTGTAAAACCGGCACTACTGCAAGGAAACACCTTTTACCATTATAACCTTACATTTATAAGAATCTATAAACAAAATAAGTTACAGTATGTGTACATATTGTTCGACAAATTAGCATCTCCACATGTATAAACATTTACAAGCATTCAAACCATGTATAAGGCATTTGATTTGGTAAGGGAATAATGGTATATTAATTGAAAGGTGCTATAAAGTGTGACTCTGCCCCATTCTTACCTGAGGTCCACCCAGGAGGAACTTCCCACTGGGCAGCAGGTGGTAGATGGTCTTGTCGTCTAGGTAACGGGCAGGAATGACCTTCCGGACCACGCTGTCCATAAGGCTACAGCGTATCTTCTCCAGACTGACATCAGGGCTGTGCTGCACAGAGATGACCACTGTATGGACACGTACCGGCTCCATGGCCCCACTGTTATCACGGTACTCCACTGTCACCTTGGAGACAGAGGGACAGGTTAAAGGTCAGCGTTTGGTCATCACTGACAAGAGGACAAGAGAGACATACTCTTATAAATATTTTTGAAGTTGTATGCAAAAATATTATGCAAAACATATTCCATTTTTTTTATTGATTCATGTTTAATTGTATTAGTACAGCGGTTCCCAAACTAGGGGTTGTAACTGATATGAAAATCGGGTCGTGGGAGAATTTCCAAAATCCTGGTAAAAAATAAATATATATTCTAACATGGGCGGTGTGTTCAATAGGGCGATATGGGCGACGCACTGCCAAACGGGAAAAGGAAGGGATTTTTTTTCTAATCAATTATATCATGGCAACAGTAGTTCAGTGTTCACGTCTGATCTGCCAGCCACTAAATGTCCAATCAGGCTAAAGTCGTGCTTCAAATGTCCCCGCCCGTTTTGGGGCGATTTCAGTCAGGTTGAAAATCGCCCAGAAGTCTCTCATAGCCTCTAATGTAAAAAATTTTTTTTTCAAATTTCTGAGCTTTCAATACATTCTCTATGGGTGTCTGAGGGCTTGCACTTACGCGCTTTCGTCATACGTAACGTAACGTAACCATGAACGGCAGACAGCAACGCTTGGACAGCGACTGGTGTAACCGACATGCACCATCTTTCAGAAAAGATTAAGAAAAATGAGCTGTCAAAGACCCACATTGATAGCTGTTTGAGATTGTCTGCTTTGGTGAGAGTGAATATTGCCACTCAACTGGATGAGGGATACAGGCTAGCTGTCCGCCGCCACAACGATGAGGTTAGCAACAGCAGAGTCGTGAACACTGTCTACGAGAATCGAGACGACCTCATAGAATGTTTTGAAGCCATCCGGACGGGTTCATTGGGTTCATTTGACCAGCCCACCGTACCAGAAGCTACAGAATAAGGACATCGATGCTGTCTTTATCAAACGTGCCCTCGACAGCTTCGCAAGCAGTGTGCAGGCCATAAGGTAAGATAAAGATTAAACAATATCATTCGATCTTTCTCAAAGCAGAGCTTTATTTGAAAATGTATGCATGAAAGGAGACTGCATTTGTGTTTGAAATTACATTATTGTCATTATATATGGCCAGTGGTGTAATCTATCTAATTTTATATACTATGTGTACTGTACAGTGGTGCTCATAAGTGTATGAACACATTCTAAAGCTGACTAAAAAGAGGAATAAAAAAATAAAAAAATCATCTTTTGGAAATTGATCTTAATGACTTAATTAAAAAAGTTGGAAAATCCAACCTTTAAGGACACCAATTTTCTTTTCTTTTTTATTCCTCTTTTTAGTCAACTTTAGCATGGGATCATAAGCTTATGAGCACCACTGTATACTGTGCTGAACATCCAGGCTATGTGAGACACAAAGGCTAACTTAAACACTAAAGACTTTATGCATCCCTGCCCATTTTAAGTGGAACTGAAGTATTTGTACTATACATGGATACATTGCATATACCTGTGCATCACATAGACAACAATACTGTACAAAGCCAACAAACACATTGGTCTGTTTGCCTTCAGGGACTCCTCTCAACAGCAGCTGCAAGAAGCAACAGGAGCCAAAAGACCCAGAACAGCTTTGAGAGAAGAGGAGAAGCAGAGGCTGTCTGAAGAGGTCTGCAACACCATCCTGGATCACACCAAAGAAAGGTTCTCTTTCTCTGGCCACCTTGTGAGTGCTACCTTACTGCAAGCAGACATGTTTGAAAGGTACTGCCATTCAAAAAAATAAAAAATCTGTTCATGTTCATTTTTACAAATCTATACAATTGGCCAGAATATGGTTGTTCATATTTACAAATCTATACAATTGGCCAGAATATGGTTGTTCATTTTTACAAAGCCATACATATTGTTTATGCAGTGTTGAGGAATGTGAAAGAACACCCTTGATTATTTTTACTGTGATAACTTATTTTGCTTTTGTAAGCCAACACTTTTGAGATCAGTCAATAAATGCTTCTGGTATTGACTTATATGCTGCCCCTGTCTTCATGTTGTTGCTGGACATATCTTTTTAAAAATGTGTGTAGGTCACCTAAATCATCAGAAAAATTGCCCCTCCTGAGAATTTTTTCAGGAGCCGCCACTGTATTCTAATATTGTCTCTCTCAAAATCATTGTAATGTGGTTAACCTTAAAAATCGAAATGAAAATTATTCTAATCTAGAAGTTAAAATTCAACCAGAGAGTGCCCTTAGATCATGGGAAAGGGCAGCACTTGACCGTTACACTTGAATAATTCCCACGGTGAATGGCTAGGCCCACTACGCTATGAAACCACACACTATTGCAGAGACTTTGATATTACCAGCTGCAGTTGATATGGTGAAAACAATGTGTGGGGAGGCAGAGGCACCGAACATCAATACCTTTGTCAGATAACACTGTGAAACTAAGAATTGATGCTATAGCTGGCAATCAAGAGGAAAATGACTGAACCTAGCCTATCTGAGAAACTGAATGAACTGAATGCAAGCATGTAAAATCCATTTGACTGTGATCCTGGCTCAGTTGACATACTGGTAAGTGAAATCAAACAGCTGATCGAGCTGTCGTGACCAAATGCTGCAAACAACACATTCACGGGTCACTATGGAGAAGTTTGGTTCCTGACTCAAAGGGAATCCTGTGCCGTCTCCCTCCGAGCATTACAACTCATGGTACGCTGATTCAGTGCTCTCCTCTGCAATAAAAACAAATATCGATCCACGTTGTATGTGATAGGAGAGATGAGGTGCGCACTGTCGACCACCCCCCTTGACTTTGAGAAGCTCCGACGCAACATGCATCAAGCACACCCATCTCACTAGTGGTAGTGAGATAAGATACATTATGTCAGACTAATTTGCAATTGACAGTCATAGCCCCACATTAAAAGTATATGATGGTGAGTTGAGTATACAATCAGAAATACTGTTAGAATGTCTTGCAATTGACTGCCATAGCCCCAATTTAAAAAAGTGAACATTGGCTGTTAACTACATAATTCTATTTCACATGGTTGGGGTCGCGAGAATTTTCAGATATCAAAATGGGGTCGTTGGCCAAAAAAGTTTGGGAACCCCTGTATTTCATCTGATCTGAAACTAATTTCAAACCAATTTAATCTTGGGGATAAATATGTATCACCTCCATCTGTCTCCAATCCACTTGTATTTCTGTCATTACATGGTTTGTACAGAATTGGAGACATTCACTAACTAGGTTCTACGTCACTCATACTGATAGGTTGGCCTCATCACTACAGGGCTCACCTGAGTTTTAGAGTCCGGTCTGATCCAGGGACACTCCCCGTTGGTAGACAGCTCCTTCATCTTGTGGTTGAGTTTGTGAGCCAGTAGGATGGTGAGAGGCATACACTCCTCTGTCTCATCTGTAGCGTAGCCAAACATCAGGCCCTGGCAGGACAACAGGCTAGAGCATTAGACATTCACTTAAGCCACGGCAGTGCATGTGTGTGCGTGCGTGTGTGTAGATGGGTAATTCCACGAAATGACTGCCTTTTGCATCCCTTTGATATTTTAAGTAGGATTTGTGCACCAATATAGAATTTTAAGCCGGTTATTTTAAATGAAGTAACTAACCTTTAATACCACATGGATAATTAAATCAATCAATCTTATTTGTAATGGGACTAAAGACTTGCTAAATTGCCAAAATTCAGCATTTTGACATAACCCTTCGTGGACCCTCTGACTTCTAGGAAGATTTTAACCCACATAACCAAGATTTTGCTGGGTTTTCACCATCATCGTAAAGCCCTAGTTATCTTGGTGCTTTGAGAAAGTCGTTTCTGAATATTATTATTTACTTTATGTGATTAGTAATTCACATACATTTGTCCCTCATTTTAAGGTCAACCCTGTTACTTGAACTGAACTCTCATTTTAATATGGTGAAACCATTCCTTTTTTCAAAAGAAACATTGAACATTGAATAGTCAAATCATAGAGTAAAAGCAGAGCTGGTTCCACTCTTTTAGGCCATTTTCTGGAGTTTTGTGGTAGAAAACTGAGTGGGTCGGTAAAGAATAACATGTCAACCCTGTTACCCATAGATAGACTGGCTAGAATGTTTTTAACAATTTAAATGTTTTGTGAAGCTTGCATTCAACTGCCACACCCTGTTGCACACATAAAGCTTCCATTCGGAGTTTGATGTTTATTGTCATTAGTCTTGTCCTGGAGGCAGAACTGAGCTAAATTAGATAGGCCAGCTGCAAAGTCAGAATTGGCTATATTGTAAAAATTCACAAAAACTTAATTTAAGGTTAGGCATTAGGGTGAGCAGTGTGGTTAATGTCAGGGTGCCAAGCTAGTGACCACTCTGCAGAGTTGCCAGATTCATGAGGAAAAACGCTAACCTGCCTTCCATTCTCCGTCACAAGGGGATTTCTGTCGGATTTAAGATGAAATCGTCAACACTCTTACGGTCAACCGTGTTACTTTTTTTGGCACTCAACAGGTACTTACTATAGTATTTTTTTTATTTAACCTCTTGAGATGGGAAAATTTGTTTTTTAATGAAGTTGAAAATGTGTCTCTTTATGACAGAATGTTAAATTTGTTGAAATCAAACATTTTATTTTACCAAGTTACATTTCTCAAAAGGCGCTGAATTGGTGGAACTGTAATTGAACTGTACCTGATCTCCGGCTCCGATGTCATCCTGATCCTTGCCTTCAAACACACATACTGATATCTCCTCTGCCTGGGGCTCCAGGGCCACCAGCACATTACACGTCTTATAGTCAAACCCTGTAGAAACAGACAATTACAGTGCCTTCAGAAAGTATTCATACCCCTTGACTTATTCCACATTGTTGTGTTACAGCCTGAATTCAAAATTGATTAAATTGTTTTTATCCTACCTCTCACGCAGCTACACAAAATACAAAGTGATAACATGTTTTTAGGCATTTTAGCAAATGTATTGAAAATGAAATACAGAAATCTCATTTACAGTGCCTTCGGAAAGTATTCAGACCCCTTGACTTTTTCCACACTTTGTTACGTTACAGCCTTTTTCTAAAATGGATTAAATAAATAAAAATCCTCAGCAATCTACACACAATACCCCATAATGACGAAGCGAAAACAGGTTTATAGAAATTTTTGCAAATTTATAAAATATAAAAATACCTTATTTACATAAGTATTCAGACCCTTTGCTATGAGACTCAAAATTGAGCTCAGGTGCATCCTGTTTCCATTGATCATCCTTGAGATGTTTCTACAACTTGAATGGAGTCCACATGTGGTCAATTCAATTGCTTGGACATGATTTGGAAAGGCACACACCTGTCTATATAAAGTCCCACAGTTGACAGTGCATGTCAGAGCAAAAACCAAGCCATGAGGTCGAAGGAATTGTCCATAGAGCTCCGACACAGGATTGTGTTGTGGCACAGATCTTGGGAAGGGTACCAAAACATGTCTGCAGCATTGAAGGTCCCCAAGAACACAGTGGCCTCCATCATTCTTAAATGGAAGAAGTTTGGAACCACCAAGACTCTTCCTAGAGCTGGCCACCTGGCCAAACTGAGCAATCGGGGGAGAAGGGCCTTAGTCAGGGAGGTGACCAAAAACCTGATGGTCACTCTGACAGAGCTCTAGAATTCCTCTGTGGAGATGGGAGAACATTCCAAAAGGACAACCATCTCTGCAGCACTCCACTAATCAGGCCTTTATGGCAGAATGGCCAGACGGAAGCCACTCCTCAGTAAAAGGCACATGACAGCCCGCTTGGAGTTTGCCAAAATGTACCTAAAGGACTCTCAGAACATGAAACAAGATTCTCTGGTCTGATGAAACCAAGATTCAACTCTTTGGCCTGAATGCCAAGCGTCACGTCCGGAGGAAACCTGGCACCATCCCTACGGTGAAGCATGGTGGTGGCAGCATCATGCTGTGGGGATGTTTTTCAGCGGCAGGGACTGGGAGACTAGTCAGGATCGAGGCAAAGATGAACGGAGCAAAGTACAGAGAGGTCCTTGATGAAAACCTGCTCCAGAGCGCTCAGAACCTCAGACTGGGGCGAAGGTTCACCTTCCAACAGGACAACAACCCTAAGCACACAGCCAAGAGAACGCAGGAGTGGTTTCGGGACAAGTCTCTGAATGTCCTTGAGTGGCCCAGCCAGAGCCCGGACTTGAACCCGATCGAACATCTCTGGAGAGACCTGAAAATAGCTGTGCAGCAACGCTCCCCATCCAACCTGACAGAGCTTGAGAGGATCTGCAGAGAATAATGGGAGAAACTCCCCAAATACAGGTGTGCCAAGCTTGTAGTGTCATACCCAAGAAGACTCGAGGCAGTAATCGCTGCCAAAGGTGCCTCAACAAAGTACTGAGTAAAGGGTCTGAATACTTATGTAAATGTGATATTTACGTTTCTTATTTTTAATAAATTAGCAAACATTTCTAAAAACCTGTTTTTGCTTTGTCTTTATGGGGTATCGTGTGTAGATTGATTAAAAATTAAATTAAAATGTAATCAATTTTAGAATAAGGCTGTAACGAAACAAAATGTGGAAAAGATCAAGGGGTCTGAATACTTTCCGAAGGCAATACATGATAGAATCACAATTGGCAGCGATTACAGCTGTGAATCCTTCTGGGTAAGTCTAAGAGCTTTGCACACCTGGATTGTGCAACATTTGCCCATTATTCTTTTCAAAATCCTTCAAGCTCTGTAAAATTGGTTGTTGATCATTGCTAGACAACTGTTTTCAGATCTCGCCATAGATTTTCAAGGAGAGTTAAGTAAAAACTGTAAACCGGCCACTCAGGAACATTCACAGTCTTCTTGGTAAGCAACTCCAGTGTAGATTTGGCCTTGTGTTTTAGGTTATTGTCCTGCTGAAAAGTGAATTAATCTCCCATTGTCTGCTGGAAAGCAGACTGAACCAGGTTTTCCTCTAGGATGTTGCCTGTGTTTAGATACATTCAATTTATTTTTGTCCTGAAAAACTCCCCAGTCCTTAAAGATTACAAGCATATCTATAACATTAAGCCGGCACCACTATGCTTGAAAATATGGAGAGTGGTACTGAGTAATGTGTTGCATTTGCCCCAAAAATAACACTTTGTATTCAGGACAAAAAGTTAATTTGCAAACAGGCACTAAAGCAACTGAGTTAGGAAGGAAGCCTGTATCTTTGTAGTAAGTAGGTGTATTGATACCCCATTCAAAGTGTAATTAATAACTTCACCATGCTCAAAGGGATATTCAATGTCTGCTTTTTGTACTGTCACCCATCTAGCAATAGGTGCCCTTCTTTGCAAGGCATTGAAAAACCTCTCTAGTCTTTGTGGTTGAATCTGTGTTTGAAATTCACTGCTCGACTGAGGGACCTTACAGATAATTGTATGTGTGGGGTACAGAGATGAGGTAGTCAGTGAAAAATCCTGTTAAACACTATTATTGCTGAACTTATTTGTAGCCATGAAGTGCTTTGAAAGGCTGGTCATGGCTCACATCAACACCATTATCCCAGAAACCCTAGACCCACTCAATTTGCATACCGCCCCAACAGATCCACAGATGATGCAATCTCTATTGCGCTCCAAACTTCCCTTTCACACCTGGAAAAAAGGAACATAGGTGAGAATGCAATTCATTGACTACAGCTCAGCGTTCAACACCATAGTGCCCTCAAAGCTCATCACTAAGCTAAGGACCCTGGGACTAAACACCTCCCTCTGCAACTGGATCCTGGACTTCCTGACAGGCCGCCCCCAGGTTTAATTATTTGTTACTTATATTTCGTATTATTTTATATTGTATTTTTTTGTGATTTTGGGGGGTTTTCTTTCTTAAAACTGCATTGTTGGTTAAGGGCTTGTAAGTAAGCATTTCAATCTAAGGTCTACACCCGTTGTATTCGGCGCATGTGACAAATAACATTTTATTTTATTTTATTTAGGCTTGCCATAACAAAGGGGTTGAATACTTATTGACTCAAGACATTTCAGCTTTTCATTTTTAATTAATTTGTTAAATTATTAAAACATAATTCCACTTTGTCGTTATGGGGTATTGTGTGTAGGCCAGTGACTTGTTTTCCAATTTAATCCATTTTAAATTCAGGTTGTAACAACAAAATGTGGAAAAAGTCAAGGGATGTGAGTACTTTCTGAAGGCACTGTATACAGTTGCACGTCATAGTAAAAACAGACAGTTGTGGCAAATTTGTGGCAAGCTCATATTTTCACATGCAAAGGAGTTTTGTGGCAAACTTGCGGCGACTTGTGAAGTTCTGGCAAACAATTCTGGGAAATTGCTGAAAACTCATTATTAATATGCAAATGTACACAAAAATGACTACTTTGCGTATTAACAACATTGAAATGCCGTATCTACATAAACCAAATCACATATAACTTGAAATTATCTTGCTTCATACGGAAAACGAAAAATACAAAATGTACTAAACAACATATATTCAATGTCTTAACAGATCAAAATAAATCCAATGCAACTTAAAATCAGCATGCTAATGAAGAAAAGAGCAATGACTGAATATTTCCCAAATAAATTGTTTATTTAATCTTTGTAGCAACAACATTTACATGAGAAAAATGTGAACACTATGGGGATGTTGACCTTAGGATGTTTAGAGGGGCAACTACAGAATTTACATGAGCCAAGTGATAACTGAGAAATTACCTATTAACCAATTGAAGTTTAAAAGATGAAGAAAATTGAATTAAAACTAAAAATCAAACTTTTTGAGTGAACTTTGTAGATGGCGGCCCTGTGGAAGTCCGTTGTCCAAAGATTTTTGAATGCATGCACTGAAACAATCAGAAAACACAAAACAAAAACAACATTACGGTTAATGAAAACTTTGGCATCTTAAAAAGGTAGACTCAGCAGCTAATGGGCGGGTTTGGCTTTGGAATAACGGGGTGAGCTGTTACAAAGTTGCCTTGATGTTGCTATGCTTCTCACTGAAACTGGCATTCTATATATTTTTCAGCAAGGAAACAATGTTTCTGCCAGTTATAAATGCTATATAAACAAACGATGTAGCTAGCATAAACTGGGACACAGGCCTACTAAATCTACCTTCAAATGTGTGGCAAACTGTTCCTAGAGCAGGGGTTCCCAACCTTTTTCTCCAGGGCCCCCCTTTCTACATTTGAAAAATGTCACGTTTTGAAGCCCATTTCCTGCAATTATATGTAGTTTAACAAGACTCATGACATCTATTTAATGATAATAATAATAAATAGGGAAAATAAAGTCTTAGTCCCAATTTCCCCAAATGATATTCCGCTACCAAATATATTTTATTATGATAATTTATATGAACCCTCAATTTAATTATACATATTATCTTTTACATGAAGTAAATAGATCAATTGATAGCGACAGTCACACATTGTATAAGTCCAATTTCTTTTGACTCCGACTTCAGAAGGTCTTACCTCAGCTTCTGAATGTCAGAGAAAAACAAAGATATTCCCATTTAGCCTAAAGCATAGTGGATTTATGCGTCATTTAAATAAATAAAAAAATCGGTATAAATAAAACGCAAATGATTTTACAAAATGTGATTGTTCCCTCAAATCAGGGAAGGTCCCGCACCCCCCCACGAAACGTTGGTGCCTCCTGTCTTAGAGAGCCACATACAATATTTTTCTACAGCCAAGCCTCAACACAATTAATTCAAACTAATCAACAAATTATGATCTTCAATCTAGACTTGGGACTTCCTCATTAAGAGCCAGTTGTCTACTAGTATTCTCTTCT